TTTTGTACAAAGTCTCCCTTTGATATTTTATAATGGAAAAATATTCAGTTACTTTCCAGAATTGCTTGGCGCGCCGTACTCGTATCAGATTTGTCCTGGCGCGTGCCCTTGCTCTAACCTAACCTTTTGTTAGTCGCATCCACGTAACTCGATAGTGTTGGGTAAACTCAATATTGTAACAGGTTGATTTCGTTAACAATTCTCTTTCAGAATTTATTCGCAAGTTTTTTTTTTCTTTTGTTTTATTGTATTTTAGAAGCTTTTTCTTGAAATTGTATAGCCTTTCCATTGTTAAGTTTTGTGATATGTTAGAATAGAAGTGCTGAGAGGTAACAAACAAACATACAAATAAACAAACTCGCTTTCACATTTATAATATTAATTTGATATCGATTTATACAGATTTTAGCCATTTCTCTTTTGTATTAATTCCGTGATTTAAAAAAATGTACCTATTATATATTTAGCAGAACATAGGATTATTTTTCTATCTCGTTAAACATTTCAGAGTGTAAATTTTGAAATTTGTAATCCTTGTCGAGTCTAGTCTAGACACGGAGATTAATAATAGTGAGTTTTAAAAAAAGAAATCTAACTTAAAGTGCCAAGTGTAAGTTAAATACAAATTTACATTACCACTACGTCAGCGTTTATCGTTTACTTCAATTTATATATTCTGAAAACTAGCTGCGGCTCTAGCGAAAACTTAAATTTCCGTACTGACTTAGCGGCGTAAACGTAAACGCGAGGGTAAAGTAAATCTTTGTACCTACAACTCGCTCTACGGTCTCCGTATAAGAAGAATAAATATCCAAAAACTCTTGTTTTTTTTTTCTTTTAACATTATCATATAAAAATAAATGAAATAACGCACAGTACAGTTTTAATCCTGAAATAATATTTCTTACTGCAGTCAACTGTAGGGGAGAGTGGGGGAATTGAGAACGGTGGGTAATTGGGAACAGCTAGGTAAATAATACTTCCCCCACATTACACCATCCCGCGCTTATTCAACGGACGCATCTAGCGCCCCTCAGTGTACACCAAATAGTAAGAGTGAAAGACCACATGTACGCTGTCACGGTAAGTCGAACAATGTTTTTTGCATTTCTTTTATAATTTTTGTCGTGTCTTATAATAGGTGTAACTATCATATTTTTGAATTCAAAGGCACCATATTTTGTTATTATCATGCATGTACTATCTGCTTCCAAACCCTACGTGATTGAAGGTTATCAAAAATACTATTGAGGATGGCGGCCAATTTGATATATATTGACTAATTTGGGCAATTGGGAATGGCATCAGGCGGGTATTTGGGAACGTTTTCTATTACCTCTCGCGTTCTTAGTTTACCCCTAGTACTGCTGGTTAATTATGTAAAAATGTTTTAACTTTAAAAATTGTTTTAGATGCCTCGAAACTATATATGAAAGACTGAATCGAAATACAAAATTGAAGATCTTCGCCATGCAGTTGAAGATGTTAGAAGTAAGAAGCTCACATTAGGCCAAGCTGCTACCAAATATTCAATACCAAAATCAACATTATTCAAACAATTAAAACAAAACAAAGTCAAGACACCAAAAAAAGGTCGATCTGCTGTATTTAATAGAGAACAAGAAGACCAGCTAGAAAAATATATACTTGATTGCTGCAAGACTTTTTATGGAATAACACCAAGTTCATTACGTAGAATTGCTTTTCGATTTGCTGAAGCTAATTCTTAAAAAAGCTGAAACACAATTTTAACAAAGAAACTGAAGATAGCATACAATAAGGAATGTGAGTTGTACATGGTTAACAATCCTGGGAAACGAATAACCCAATACGAGGTTTGAGAACTTTTTACAAAGGCGTACAATAAAACAGCTAACATAAGCAAGGCTGTCAGTGGATTTAGAACCGCTGGAATTTATCCTATTAATCCTGACAAATTTAAAGACATCTTTGAGAATATGACATCTAATCAATCCTACATCAGTCAGATTCAAGAATGCGATGCTCATAAAACTACAGCTGAGCAAAGTTTAAATTTATCCGATAACACTGTCAGTCAAAGTAAAACTCCTTCTCCATCCACTTCTGTGCCTCTTACCGAAATCATTAATGTGCCTATCATACCTAAAACAAGAACCACTTCTGTGCGACAGAATAAGAGACATTCTCAAATTTTATCCAGCTCACCGATAAAAATTGAACTTGAGGGAAAGCAGAAAAAATAAAATGAGAGAAAAGCTAAAAAAGAAAAAGTTCCGAATAAAACACTATAAAAGAACTTTAAAACCATAAAAAAGAATCTAAGAGTCAAGGGTAAAGGAGGGAAAAATTTAAAGAAGGCTTTGCAAGAAAATAAGTTCGAAGAAGAGTTTTTTGTATAATGTGCAACGAAAAATATGAATCTCCGCCGACAAAGGATTGGATTATGTGCGTCATCTGTAAACTCTGGGCACATGAAAAATGTACTGCTGGCGAGACTAGTCTAGGGTACGTGTGTGATATGCGCCAACCAAAAAAACTATAGTTTATTATAAAGATTTAATTGTGTCGTTTCTAATTACCCCATACCGTTCCCATTTACCCTTCGGGATGATCTCAATTACCCCATAGGGTATCGGGTAAAAAGAAACGACAACGTTTTTTGTTTTCGTTAAAATTTCTAATGAAACTTTGATTCTTGAGAGTTTTTCTGTAACTGATAAGTAGATAGATAAGTAAAGTTTATATTGTAATAAAAGTTGCTATATCTAAGACTTTTTTCTATTATTTTTGGACGTTGGAAGTTAAGTGTTCCCAATTCCCCCACTTTCCCCTACATGAAGAAGCATACTAATTCGTAAGACTCAGAGGGAGACTTTGTACAAAAGTCGATTGCTTGGGTACCTCTGTTTCATTCGTGTTTCAACCATGAAGCAGTTGTGTTTCGGTTTGAAGGGCGTAAATTTACTGGGTACAGAGAAATAACACCTGAGTCCTCAGGAATGGCAACGCATGGGAGGTATCATGGGCGAAACAGTATACTCTGTTATGTCCATGGTACTGCTCATGTCTATAGGCGACGGTTACCACTTTCCATCAGGTGGGCCGTCAGCTTGTTTGCCTTTGTAAGTTGTATAAAAAAAATCTCTTAACTTTAATAGTAACACTAAAATGGATATCTTTCGTTGGTGGTCCTTAAAATTTCTATTCTATTCCGGGACCTCACGGCTACACTTAGTAATTTTGGCTATTAATTAACAGTCAGAACAAACGATTTTATAATTATAGATAAAGAATGGAGAGATCCTTTATCTGTACATAAGGTAATCTGTATCATAATTTAGAAATTACAACGCAATAAATCACCTACCTATTTAAAAAAAAAAAACCAAAAATGTCTCATCAGCAAACAAATTTAACTTAAGCATTAATTAAATGGGTCGCGTGCAAATAAATCATTTCTTTCATTAACCATAGTCCTAAATACACAATTGACTTACCGTTCACAGCCCTACGCCTATAGAAAAATCAAAAAGTTGTTATAACAATAATAAGATGGATTTTTTTATACAAGAATGATGGCACTAAAGCATACAGCCAATCTGATAATAAACAGTCACTGTAGCCTATGGACGCCTGCAACACTAGGGCTGTCACGTGAACGTTGCCGATCCTGAAGAAACCTTAATATACCCTTTTTAAAGAAAAAAGAAATGAACTTAATATAAACATTAAATGTATACAGTTTGAAGCATATAATATTGCGTAAACACTGCTCATAATTCAGAACCTCCTTTTTAAATCTAAAACCTGTTGAAATTACCAACGGTGCGTACTTTATTTGCTAAATATTATTAAGCAAATAAATACTTTACAGATAATTTCTGGGAATAATTATAACATTGCGTGTAAATAGATACACGTTCTGGTTTCGTGTACTTATTTATTTTATATGTTTATGTAAATAATTGAAGCATATAATACCCAGAATTAGAAATTATCTCCCATCCATGTTTCTGCCATTAAGATTTTGTGCTATTGATGTGCTTGCATATGTGTGTTTCGGTTTGGAGGGTCAGATATGGCAATGAAATTATACAGCAAGGCGATAAAACGTTTTAGTCTTCAAAAATAGCATCGCCTGAGGATTACCATGAGCCCATTACAATGTATTTTGCGATATCTGTGGCGCTGTTCATGTCTATAATCGATGGTTAACACTTGCAATCAGATGGATCGTCAGCTTGCTTAACATTCTAAGTTAAAAAATATATAAAAAATGCATTTCACTTTAAAATAGAACAAAGATTTTTTTATTTTCAACCGACTTCAAGAAGAAAGTATTTTATGTTTGTGACCTCATATGGGCAGCAACGTCCCTCTTAAAACATCAACAAAGCCTAACTACGGTTGCCAACCCGCCTGCCAAACGTGGCAACTACTGGAAAAAAATCCAAACGGGAAGGCTTATGTTCAATAGTGAGCAGTATGGTTGATATCATCAATTTGCTCGATAAAGCACGACTAGTTTGGGGACGGCAGTTATTACATTAAAATATAATGCGTACTTACGAATTTTTTTAACTAATCAATGTTTTTATAAATAATTATTAAAATAGGTAAGCGTAAAAATTTTTTTTTTAATGGGTGTTAATGGTATGGTAACCCCGTCTGCGCTATCGGTATACAATGGCGGGGCACCAGTGATAGATGATTAATGAGGATGAAAGCGGGTCAGTTAGCCCATCCTGACGAATTCAACTAGAATAAGCCACGATGGTCTCCAGGGGGACCCACGTGGAGGTCGACCTGACAGGGTATATTGCTAGTAATGGGGCTATTTGATCCCATTACTAACAATCTCTTTCCCCTCTAAAAGAATGGTTTCCAGGAGGGATAACATGGAGGCTAACCTAACACTAATCCCCATTACTAACAATCCTCCCCCCCCCCCCCCAATCAAATTATCGGGAGATACAACTTTTCAAGTAAACATATTTAAAGCTGATATATCGTTGCAGCGATGGCATCGTGCCGTGCAGCGGCTTGCTTGGCTGCATTGGCAGCGGTCTGCTGCGCTCTCCCCCACACCGTCTACGCGCTGGACCTCAACAAACTCTACGGCCACCATACCAAAAGATCTGGTGAGTTACCATCCTATTGACTTACATATATCCTGTGTTTCTAGCCCGTTTTTCTCAGCTGAAATTTCACTCCGAACTGGGAGGTAATTTCATAAAAAAAATACTGTTCATTTTTAAAGTCTCGACTTATTATGAAGTTTACTTGAATAAAAAATATTTATGTTAATAATATAAATGGAAAGTTAATAAGGATGGTTTTTTTTTTCGATGGGTGAAAATGGATTGGCAACCCCGCCTGCACTAACGGGATATGCTGGCGGAGCACCAGTGAAGGGTGAGAGATGAGAATGAAAACAGGCCAGTTAGCCCACCATGATGAATTCATAAGAAATTAACCATGATAGTTTCCAGGGAGAACCGCGAGGAGATCGACCTGGCTGTGTATATTGCTAGCAATGGGATTCTTAGTCTCCATTACTAACAATCCCTTTCCCGATAGGTGAGGATGGAAAGGCAGGTCAGTTAGCCCATCGTGACTAATTCAACGATAAATTAGTTACGATAGTTTCCAGGGGGAACCGCGTGGAGGTCTACCTGATAGGGTAGGGTATATTGATAGCAATGGGGACTAACTTTCCCATTACTAACAATCCCTTTCCCCCCTATAAGTGTGTGTCAGATGTGTAATTGTTTGCTCATGAAATATAATTATTCGATAACACCTGCTGCTACACCCGCATAATTCCCTTTATTGTCGGCACAGTATAAATAACAACATTAAGCGAATACTAGATAACCAATATTGTACATATTATCAGGAAGCGCAATTTATGGAAGGCACAGTGTATTTTGTATAATCTGTAAGTATTACATAGTAAACCGTGAACTTATATACCTTTTTAGTTGAAAGCAGAGACTCGTATAAAAAAATAAATTGTGTTTATTCTCTTAGGAAATTAATACATAATATTGACTATTAAGAGCCCAGTTGGGATACCTACCTCATTTAGATTAAGTAGCCGAAATGATAAGAAAAAAAAATGCAAACAAAAATGATTCTTATCTTTTGATTCTTACGGTTCATATTTCGGTTCATAAAAGTAACGAATTCCCCAAAATATACTCTAGAGAAAACATTGGTGATTCCAGTAGCTCAACGCAAACAGTAATAAGTATTTCTAAGAAGAATTATGTCATATAATATTTATATCAGGTACCAGCTTTGGTCAGCAATTTTGTACACGTGGATTTTAAAACCTTTCCTTGGAAACTTTGTTAAATAAATCGAGCTGTCATCCACAATATCACTCCTACTTCTTTCTCTTTGATATCAAAGAGAAAGAAAGATTTTCAATTTAAAATGCATACTTTGTATAAGTAGTTACCTGTTATAACATAGGCATATTATACTTGAAATAAAAACCTAATTACTGGCAACTTCACGAGTTGATTTTTTTTTATACCATGAGGGTGGCAAACAATCGTGCAGCCTGTCTGATTGTAAAGGGTCATGTAGTCTTACTTTACCAGAGGGAGACTTTGTACAAAAGTCGTTTGCTTGGGCGGATATGGCGTGAATTTACAGAGTACAAAGGAATAACATCTGAGTCCTCAGGAATGGCAACGCATGGGGGGTATCATGGGCGAAACAGTATACTCTGTTATGTCCATGGTACTGCTCATGTCTATAGGCGACGGTTGCCACTTTCCATCTGGTCGTCAGCTTGTTTGCCATTCTAAGTTGTATAAAAAAAAAATATCAAGATAAAACGTACTTCAAATTTAAAATTACACCTTCAGGAACACAACTGTAAAATTTGCATTTTGAAAAATAATAACTAAACATGGGTAATATCTGTACCGCGGGGGGAAAACGATTGTTAGATATGGTGTCTAACAGTTCCATTACTAGCAATGTACCCTACCCGGTCGACTTCCACGGGGTCCCCCTGGAAACCATCGTGGTTAATTCTCGTGAAAATCCTTCACAGTGGGCTAACTGGCCTACTTTCATCCTCACTTATCATCATCAATGGTGCCCTGCCAGTATATACCGATAGCGCAGGCGGGATTACCATTTCATTATCACCCATTAATAGTACATTACTGCAGCGGCCGGTATAGTAGTGTATAGTACTTTTCTCAAACAATGCGCGGAAATCAAAAACACAATTTTACTTTTTAAGTTCAATGATGAATAACGAACAATAATAATTTTTCACGCGCCATAATGTTCCTTTGTTTTTTTTTTCAATAAACAACTTTCTATTTGCAAGCTTGTTCGAAATTTAAATAAAACCTTTTACTAGTTACCTCCTTGGTAGCCATGTTTCGAAGTAAAAGGTCACTCCATTTTTAAATTACAAGACAGATATGAGTTTACATAGTAATTTATATGGCCGCAAAACACGACAGATATGGATTTTCATACAACTTTTGCCGGCCGCTGTCCGCATGTATCTGGCCAGTACGGCAATTTTGATTTATCTCAAAGAAGATTGTCAAAATAATGCTCACATTTCCAAGCATGTTTGAGAAAAATAAATATCTGTATCGTTCCTATATCTATACATTGAATTCCTCCGGACATTGACGATGAAAAAAATATCATCTCTCCTTTCCACATCGCCCATAGTTGTCTAATGTCTATATTCACTTCGATCGGGTATTTCACTTCGATATTATACATATATTGGGTAATCAATAAGTAATGTATACGGTATTGGACCAATATACAGTTATTGTAACTACAATATACAGATATTGCAGTATATTACCCAACCCTAGTAATAACCATCGCCTATAAACATAAACAGCACCATCGCTATCCCAGAAATTAGAGTGACTACCATAGTAAACGTTAAGCGTTATCGTTCTTAAGGACTACTTGTGTTATGACTCTCTACACTCTAATTTCAGTACCCACTCTTTAAGCAGAAATACAAATAAGCAAATTACTTAATAAAAGAAACACGAGTGAAACAGAATGAAGTACTATACTTTATTTGCATTATACAATATAGGGAATAAGCAAGACAACTAATAAATGTAACAATACAGTTGTATCGTATAAGTACAGTAAGGCGGTGTTATTGCTGAGAGCAATATTTACAAGACAACCAGAGAGTAATGAAATAATTGTTGTACAATTTGGTATGCTTATATTGTATAATTAAGAAAGTAAAACATTAAGGAAAATAATTATAAGTAAACAAAACAGAAGTACATATACAGGCAACTTTTGTACAAGCTCTCCCTATCTTTAACATATTTGTTACATCATAATAATGTACTTGAATGTTTTAGTTCCTAAATAATGCTAAAGATTAATAAAGCCTTGCGAACTTAGGGTAAGTTGACAGTAACATAAATCGAATTCCTTTGAATTGAACTAAATCACTTCACTTGTGACAAACTTTGATTTTGATGAAATTTCTATGGAACTAATTTGAATTTTTTAGTTAAAAAAATAAAAGAATTTCCCAAATCTGTTTATAAATGACGGAGTTAAAAATTAACAAACATAAAAAATGTAACCAAATTGAGAACCCTTATCGAGTTGATTGAAAATAAATACTGTACTATCACAAACTTCTATTTGATATATATATATATATATATATATATATATATATATATATATATATATATATATATATATATATATATATATATATATATATATGAAATGAAAGAATCTAACAAAATTCGTACAGAAATATGGGATTATACATACCTATTGTTTTATAATTAATTTATAACTTCATACATATTTTATTACTTTCTTTTATTAACTTACTCATTGTTGAATAATAGATAATAATAATCTTTCTACTATAAACATTTATAATAGAGATCCACTGAAACATAAACTTCATATCATTGTTATAAAACCTCTGACGACGTCTATTTGTTTTATTTATCCATTTATTTCTCACAAATTTTTGCTTACAGCTTCGTACGCATGGTTTTTAGGAAGTAACTCGAATGAAATCAATGGAATAAACCAATTCCACAATATAGAATAGTAGAATATTTAATTCTAGATTCTACATTCAGAAACACAGCTACGAGAAGCACTTCCAAATTTTGTGCAGTAATTTTTACGTGATATCGAAACAAAGAAACAGAGAAACATATAAAAAAGTTAAACACAAAATCAAATAGCATATAGTCATTACTAATCAAATTTTGTAACAGGGTTGTCAAATATCCAAACCCCTCACTCACTGGATAAGGTCGTTAATTTACATTGATCTGTTTTGTTGAGCCACTTTTCTAAAAGGTCAAATCACAAAGACACCCACTGATCAGAATACAAATGGGCGTCGCATCGTTTCCAATTACCTTACAAGCTCGAAAAAATTCATCTCCATTGGTGTTAACGCCAATTCAAGGGAAATCTGTATAAGGCCCAAGTAATAACATTATCCCGACTAATCACTCGTCGGTTCCTTGAAAAATAACTTAGTGGACCCTCCCTTAAGGCGGGGTGCTTTGCACCCGAATATTCTGAAACATTATGAAGCGCGCCTAATTGGTCTGCTGTTGGAAACGGTTTGCCTTTAACAAGGCAGCCCGTTTCAGCTTAATATAACTTGGCAGATATTTTTGATGAGATCCACTCACTTGCTCAGTTCCTAGGTGAAAAGGTCACTATTTACATTAGGCAGTCCTTGTCCTGGGTTTAAAATATCGTGAAAGGTAGGTACGTATCTCAGTTACTTTTTACCTGATTTAAACAAATTTGAGAGTTATGGTTCTCGGGCCTTTGTAAGAATTTCAAGACAGATTTTTAGCTCAACTTTGTAACAGTTTAACGGATTTTAATAATAGCATCTCGTTAGTTTAAAATCCTTTTTTGTAGTTTTGTTTTAATGGGTGTGAATAAAATTGTTACGTAACGCCGTGAAATAAACGGAGCGGCCACTAAAACTACTCCTCCTCCCCCTCCATCGTCTCTAAGGAAATTTAAAGGAGGGGAAAGTAAAAAGTTGAAGGAAAACGTCTTTTTATCCCATATTTTTTAACAAATTTGGCTTAAATGCGTTACTTTGCGGTGTTACTGGTACAATCATTATCTCGCTACGTAATAAATGTAGACACGTACAATATTACATTAATTTTAATAATTTATAGGAAGTTCAAGTTGGATGCCTGCAAAAGTTTGAACATTAAAAATATGAAAGCTGTTTTTTATACTAGAATTCTTTTCAGTGAGAAAGGCGTAGAGGAAATCTTCTTGTTTCTATTTTGTTGGTTCCTTACTTTTTTTATAAAACATGAAACGGCAAAGTATTTGATGACCCACCTGTCCGTAACCGATATTTAGTATGAAAGTATGAACAACTTCTGAATATCACAGATGAATATACTATCATCCATAATTGTGGTCGTGTGGTCCAGATATACAATGGGCCACCCCTTCCTTTTCTGTGGGTGTCGTAAGAGGCAACAAAGGCAACTTAATGGTCTAGTGATGGGTAGCAGCGTCCTTCTTAAAACATCACCAAAGCCTACTGCGGTTGCCAACCCGCTTGCCAAGCGTGGCTGACTGATATCTATGGCAAGCTAGAAGGCCTGTTTTCAGTGGATAATTATCGCTAACATGATGATAGTGATTGCTATTCATCAGATCGGTAAATTTTTTTTATTTCAAGTTACATACGAGTAAATAATAAAATTGACTGAATAACTTATTACTTTTCTACTTCTTTTATATCCAAGTAATAATTTCATTTTTTCAGAATACTGTCACCCGTACGAGCCGTTCAAGTGTCCTGTCGATGGTAACTGCATCTCAATACAGTACCTCTGCGACGGGGCTCCTGATTGCATCGATGGGTACGATGAAGACTCCAAACTGTGCACTGCAGGTAAAATTTTTCAGTTTAATAGGCAGCAGTTAACGCGCTCATTTCAGTAAACTATTTAAGAGTAAAATCATTTGCTTAAGACTCTACATTTCAACCAAGTAACCTAGCCATAGTCACGAACTGATTTTTAAATGAGATTTCTACATTTATTCTATCCTACATGAAGGGAAGAAGCAAAAATGTTAAAAAAGAGTTAACATAACGAATGTGAATGGTTGTTACTATAGAAGAAGGCGTAGAAAATAGAAGGTTATTCTGGGCCAAAGAAGATATGGCCAGAAAGGGAGTGACTAACGAGGTGAGTGTAAATAGGGATGAATGGAAAATGGAAACATATTACGCCAACCCGAAATAGATATGTAAAAATAACGAGACGATGATGACCCTATTATAATTAAATTTTTCATTCATAATTTTTCATTGGCATTTCATTTTTTTTTAAATTATAAAAATATTATATTAAAATAACAAGAATACATAACTAAGCATACGATACGCGTATAATATTACGAAGGTTCAGCAGATAAATCAAATACCGAAAAATTATATTAACCGTATCAATTTTTTCGGTACATTTCATTTATAGGCCATATCAAATACGTGTCGCTAATTTTCTTCGAATTGAATGCAATGAACTCTTACAAGTATATCTCTGGTCGATATTACGACGCAATATGAAGGGTGCCATATTATAAACAAAGATACGACTTTATGTTATGCGTTTCCTATATTATATTCGTTATCAATCAATAACGTAAGGTAAAACACTGCAGATGAAGCGTTTTATAAGAAAAAAAATCTGTCAGTCGAGGAGAACTAAATTGGCATCGGCTTCATGACTTCTCTCTGCGATAGATGGTCGGTAGTTCTTCCTCAAATCGTATATGCATATACACACAAATTCTTACAGGTCCTCCAGGACACATAGCCAGTCTGGCCATAAATACTGTTACATAAAAACTTTCCTTTTTTTTCAACTTTTTTTTTGGTTTAAATTTGGAACACGTTTATTATTTAAAAAACTTCTTTCGATTTCGCGCCATTTCACATATTTTTACGTGATCATTATCAAATTATAATATGGAATGGGTGTTAACGAAAATAGGATTGCAGTGATCGCCTTGCACAAAGTGAGTATAGAGCCGTCGGTCATATTCCAGAGCTTGGTATCAGCCGTATGTTCATATATCATAATATCAACAGATATAACATCACTTCCTCTGTCGAAGATCAGAAAAGATCGGGCCGGCCGCGTGCTGTTAGAACCCCATTAAGAAGCAAAAAATCTTATCGCGAGAAATGAAGATTCCCGCTAGGACTCTGTCGCGTATTATAAAACAAAACCTGAAACTCGGTGCTTATCATGGATATACCGGGCATACTCTTTAATCAATCTTTACAATTTATTATTAAAGAGAGTGGATCGATCAAATGCCCTTCTGTCGCGATACGCAAGTGAAAGGCACAGAAATATCCTCTTTCCGATGAAAAAATTTTCACGATTAAAGAACACTTCAACAAGCAAAGTGATAAAGTGTACGCTCACAGTTCTAAAGAAGCTACTCAAGTGGTCGAAAAGGTACAACGTGGTCATCATCCTGCGTCAGTGGTGGTTTGGTGGGGCGTGTCTTATCATGGAGTCACAAAACTACGTTTTTGTGAAAAAAAGACTGAAAACTTCAGCTAAAGCGTATCAAGATATAGTCTTGGATTGTATTGTGAAACCTCTCAAAAATACACATTTAAAAAATATACCGTGGACTTTCCAGCAGGACTCTGCACCTGATCACAAGGTACAAACTACCGAAGCCTGGCTTGAAACCATTGTTCCGGACTTTTAAGAGCTGAAGGTTAGCCCTCATCTAGCTCAGATCTCAACCCCTCAGATTTCAAATTATGGTCAGTTTTAGAGGACATGGCTCTAAATAATACGGCGACATTGAGTCTCTAGTCTGAGTTAAAAAATCTTTGAAGCAAAGAGTAGCAAAATTTCCCTTGGAAATAGTACGTAAATCCGTACATTCGTGGCTAGACAGACAAAAAGGCCTGTATAAAAGCCAAAGGTGGCAATTTCGAATAGAATATTTTTTTATTTTTTGCTGAGACTTTAATAAATATATAGGTATAAATTTTAGTAATATTACATTATTTCATAAAAGAATGAATTTTAATTTTTAACAGAACTTATGGCTGGACTAGGTATATAGCTGTTTGTTACTGTTTCACACTCATAAGCTGAACGAATATGAATGAAATATTAGGACAATGATACTTTGTATCCTAACTTAACATATAAGACAATTTATATACTAATGCCATGCAAACAAACCCGTTTTACATTAATATATGCGTTTTATTAACTGTTTTATACCCGTTGTTATTAAGATCAGTTATAAAATATTGTATGATGTTTGATATTAGATAACGCTCTATATATGGGAGTCACTAAATGAAGTGGTACTCAGGAAAACAAATGAATAGTCCAAAGTTCAAAATTTAGAATGCTCGTATATTATTCAAAATACCTATTTTATACAAAGTTGTAAAGTTTGACAGTTTACATATAATATTTAGCTTAACATTATCAAAATATTGTGTCATTCACCCTTATGTGCTTGTCGTTAAAGAATTGAAGTTACGATATATAGATATATTATTAACCGGACAATGAACCATTTAAAGACTCTTTAATTAGATTCAGAACATCTACATATAGTAACTCTTTTACATCCCTAGCCAATAAATAGTCCATGTGAGAAAATCTATCCCATGGAACAGTTATAAACTTAACTAAATTTGGCAATTTACTTATAAGTTTTTCGACATCTTCAATTGGGCCGAGCCAATCATTGAGACCATAGAAAATTACCATAGGTGCAGTTATTTTCTCAACAGGATAATCAGGTGGCGATAATAATCCGTATGTCGCTAAGTTTTCCAATTTACCATAATCAAATCGTCTAAATGTTCCTGTGTTTATAATTTGCGCATAATGCACTAATTGCTTAGTCGCTATACCTGCAGGCATATGGCCAAATATCACGGGCAAGGCAGTAGCATTTATCTGTGCATAATCAGGACCCATCAGAAGGAAAACAATACTATCGCAAATTATTGCAGCTGTTGCTGGTCTTCCACAAAAGGTGTTCGTTAAAAATTCCAATAATACGTTTCTTGGCATAAAATCATATATACCTAAGGCTTTTAAGTTTGCCCACAGAAAGGGATATATAGCACTAAAAATTTTCAAAAGTGGACTCTTGGTGTGAGACAAAAATGACACCGCCGACAGCGCTATCATTAGTTTTATTTTATCATTGTATTCCGGCCTCTCTGAACACATCACGAAGTAAGTCGTCGTACCCTGTGAATGTCCGATATATACCAGTTGTTTCTGATTAGTTTTATCCAAAGCATAGTCAATCATAGCTGGTAGATCGTAACGACCAATCTCGTCCCAGCTGAAGTCCCAGAACTCTGCGCAGGACGGCGACAAACTAATGTGACGTCTAGAATGTACATTACCACGAGCGTTTCCCAACCACACGTCGTAACCAGCATCGGCAAGTAAATAGGCAAGTCCATTGTTGGGTCCAGTAGTTACGAAGTCATCGGAGCTACACAAAATTCCGTGCATTACAAACACAACGGGGCCATCGCTTGGTATCCGGAACATGGTCAATATGTACCCATCGCTGGACAGCACCTCATGCTGTTCCACAGGATACCCGTATTTGTTTAATAATTGCGTTATATTTAGATCAATATCTTCATTGTATTTGGTCGATAGGTACTCACTGTAAATAGATTCAATTGCTGTAATGTTGAACAACTCGTCGGGTGCTCCACTGTTTGCGTATTCTTTAATTTCCTCAAATATGTCATCAGTAATAGAGGCAGAGTCTCTTTCAAAAATACTACAATTTTCTCCATGTGCAATATTTAGTAGTTTCCATAATAAAATGAATAAAAGACTTCGAGTTATCATTGTTTAAAATAAAAAATGTTCTTCATAGCCGAACTATTGTCACTAAAGTGTCTAACTGGTGTTGCTAAATGTATACTAGTAATTAATATTAAAAAAAAATTATATAGGTTTATTTATCAGTTATCAAATATGCATCATTACATTTCTGCCAACAAAAGGCTTAATTTAAGGCTTATATTAAAGTCGTCATTCTTATCTTTATATTATGCAGTTTAATTAATTCACCACTGCATATATACGTAGTACATTACTAGCAATTAACATCTTATCTATTATCCAAAAATCACTATGATCGTGGAACTATATAGTATGAAACCATAACACCATAGTCTTCAGGAATGGTGCTACATAAAAGAAACCACATACATCACAGTATTTTATTATATAACCGTAGTTCATCTCTATAGGTTACCACATTCCATTAGATGGACCGTCAGCTTGTTTGCTATTCTATATTTCATAAAAAGCATACCTCACGTGTTATACACACACACATATTTTTTATAGTAAAATTATTCTTGGATTAAGTTATTTTGTATTTATAGTAGAAAGGTAATTGTTGATGGAAATTCGAAAATTATTCATTTATTTAGTGTTATGGCACCATTTAAAAAATATATATTACACTTATGAAGTACAAAATGTGGTTTTATCACTAAAGCAATCTCTTCCAGACAAGCTTTGGGTAAAGGAGAAAGGTAAAAAGACGGTAGCTATTTGACGCAAGAAGTGTTTTTCTTATAACACAGAGGGCAAACGAGCATGCGGTTCACCTGATCTTAAGTGATCGTAAGTATCGTCGCCCATGATCACCCACAACACCAAAAGCATCACAGGTGTGCTGCCGGCCTTTTAAAAAGATATATGCTCTTTTTCTTGAAGACTATGATGTCCTATCGGAAATACTGCTGGAATTTGATTCCAAAGAGTGATTGCGCATGGAAGAAATGTAAAAAAGAAAAACGCATAAAACATACGCAAATAAACATAAGCATACCTAACATCTAAATGCTTATAGTATATATTACACAAATAAATGTATAATAAATATATCTAATACGATTACATTACACACATTTAGATATTTAGATATATACATATTGTAATACTATTCGTATGCCATATGTATATATATATATATATATATATATATATATATATATATATATATATACATATATGACAAGCAGATATGAAAGGGCAATAGTGGAAGATGGAAGATGGCTACTAATTGAGCGCTGCATATTATCTTTATTAATTCTGTATCTATTTTGGGAATTCTTTTTGAAATAGTTTTATTTATAAGTTATTATATTAGAATTATTATTATAGAATAAGTTTTATTCCTGCTTTAGTCTTGTTTTATTTTGTCGATTTTTTTTTAATAAATATTAAACTTATCAACAAATAAAAGTTTTCTGATAACAAATTTCCAATAACGAAAAAACGCCGATTCAAAAGCATCTAATTAATAAAAAAATAGGTAGCGAACGATAATATTAGTTGTACAAAAAAAAGATCAGAGTAAAATACACATAAAATATATATACATACAATACACAGGAGGTGAAGATGTTACGCAATGTTTGCTGAAATAGTCCTCGTTCAGTGTCATGCTGCAGTCGAGAAGCTACAGCGCTGATTTTCAACGGAAGCTCTTCGGGTAGGAATTAATTTAATTTGATATGGAAGTATGCTTACGTACATAATATTGAACGTATATAACTTACTCTCATTCCATCATTAATAACATATCTAACTTTATATATGTAAAATTAACGGTCGATTTAACTAATTGTATTTTTTTATTTATTAACAAGTAATTGAACCGACAGGCGTTGTTTATGAAAAACTATCGGTAGTTAAGAACAATATGTATGGAAAAGAAATAAGTTTTAATGATTTTCAAGTAAATTTTCCCAATTAGTTTCTTAATAAAAACCTTCCTCGGACTTCAATGAGTATTTGAAAAAAGATTAACTAAAAAGAATCGCTCGAACAAATGGTAAAGCATTTGTTAAAGTTATACTCGAGTTTTACGCTCACCTTTACATTAAAAGATTTATTTTTATTTATTTAGATTAATTATTTAAATACCATTATTACTTTACCAGAGGGAGACTTTGTACAAAAGTTGTTTGCTTGGGCACCTCTGTCCCATTCGTGTTTCTACTGAGAAGCAGTTGTGTTTTGAATAGCTGTTTCGGTTTGAAGGGTGGGATATGGCAGTGGATTTACAGAGTACAGAGGAATAACACCTGAATCCTCAGGAATGGCAACGCATGGGGGTATCACAGCGTAACAGTATACTCTGTTACGTCCATGGTACTGTTCATGTCTATAGGTGACGGTTACTACTTTCCATCAGGTGGGCCGTCAGCTTGTTTGCCATTCTAAGTTGTATAAAATAATATTGAAAAAATTGAAAACATAATATATTTGAGGAACAAATTATATCAGTTATATATATATATATATATATATATATATATATATATATATATATATATATATATATATATATATATATATATATATATATATATATATATATACTTTTTTATACTTATACTTTAATATAATAGTATGAAAAATTGTAATTAACGGGTAATGTATAATAATAATTCAAAAGGTTGGTTGTACACCTGCAATGCCTCTGGTGTTGCGGGTGATCATGGATGACGGTAGTCACTTACTATCAGATGAGCAGCGTGCTCGTGTGCCCCCTGCGTTATAAAATAAAAAAGTAGCAAACCTACTTATTTATTTTTATTTAAATATTTAGGTATTCACTTACCATCAGGTGAGCCGCATGCATGTTTGCTGGCGGAGCACCAGTGAAGGGTGATAGATGAGAATGAAAACAGGCCAGTTAGCCCATCATGATGAATTCATCAGGAATTAACCATGATAGTTTCCAGGGGGAACCGCGAGGAGGTCGACCTGGTTGGGTAGATTGCTAGCAGTGGGATTCTCAGTCTCCATTACTAACAATCCCTTTCCCCCGGATGGGCAACAGTTTCCCTCTTAAAACATCGCCATAAGCCTAACTGCGTTTACCAATCCAAAATTTTATAACTTTTTGTTTTACTTATACATGTAAGCAATAGTTATATATATTCATATATTTGTGTTTATATGTACGTATATATGTATATGTATGTGTGTATACATATATATAATAATGAGGTAGGATATATATTTACATTATTACATGTATCACATCTCCATATTTACAAATAATAGAATTTTCATCGCTTCCGATCAAATTAATTATAATTACTCCTCTCCAACCAAAGGTTGCCTGGAAGAGATCGCTCTTAGCGATAAGGTCGCCCATTGTTTTCTCATTGTGATTATTTCTTGTAATTGTTTATATTTATAATAAGTTTACTATTGTAAGCTTTTGGAGGAAACAATAAAGAGTATCTATCTATCAACCCACCTGCCAAGCGTGGCAACTGTTGGCAATATCCCAAATGACAAGGGCTTATGGGGAGGCTGACGTTCAACAATGAACAGATAATACCATATATGAAGATGGTATAAACGTTCTACATATATCTTATAATATGATGTATGTTTGTTGAAAATGCCTGAGAATGTGAGAATGACAAACAAGTTGCCGGCCTACATAATGGAACGTAATAACCTTCACCTAATAAACATTAACCACACCATGGCATCACAAATTACCAGTTATGCGTCACCCCTGAAAATTAAGGTATTATACTTCTTATTTGTAAGATTACACAGTACATTTTTCTTTTCACTCGCTAAAAACAACTTTACTTTTTTTTTATTTTTCTGTGAATACATTTATATTATGGTGTCTGAAAGCTTCTTATTTATTTATTTTCAACCGATTTCAAAAAGAAGGAGATTCTCAATTCAACTGTATTTTTTTATGTTTGCTACCTCATAACTCCGTCTATCGTAAACTGATTTGGAAAAATCTTTTTATATTTAAAAAACGATATAAATTGGTTCTGTAAAAATGTTATCAAAATCATTTCAGTTGTCTAGTTTTCCAGAGGGAGACTTTGTACAAAAGTCGATTGCTTGGGTACCTCTGTCCCATTAGTGTTTCAACTGTGAAGCAGTTGTGTTTGTATGGCTGTGTTTCGGTTTGAAGGGTAGGATATGGCGTGAATTTACAGGGTACAGAGGAATAACATCTGAGTCCTTGGGAATGGCAACGCATGGGGGGTATCATGGGCGAAACAGTATACTCTGTTATGTCCATGGTACTGCTCATGTCTTTAGGCGATAGTTACCACTTTCCATCAGGTGGGCCGTCAGCTTGTTTGCCATTTTAAGTTGTATAAAAAAAAAATTAAAAAAAGTTTTTAAATCAAAATAACTGGTTTCACTACAATTGAACTCGGTTTCTTTTTTGTGAAATACAATTTAAATATATTTATTACTATTTAAAGACATAAATAGATGATAGCATATATCACCTTCATCCTCTATTTCCTTTGAAGGTGTTATGATAAAATATTGAATACATAAGATAAAATTGAAATGAAACAATTTAAAGAAGCGTTCTACTATTGAAATTTAACATTTTTTCTAAAAAATATGGATCGACAATCACAAAAAATGTATGCCTCTCATACTAACATTAGTAATCCAGTTGTCAAGTATGAGACGTTCTACATTTTTGTGTCGCTTCTCTTCTCATTTCATATTTCTTCAAGTAAAACATTTAATTTCACTAGTAGAGCACAATTTGAGGATGCTATGGACTTTAACTTCAAGCCGAAGTAAAAAAAAATCTTAAAATTATGATAATAATGTAAATTCCAAAAGAAACTCACTTTAATGTAAAAATATCTAATATTACATTTTGTCAATTTAGGAACTAAACCAACTAACGCCATATATTTTATTTAACAAAAGTTAATAAAGATATTTAATATAAAAATAAAAATATTTTTCAGACTTTTCAATCTTAAAAGGACCATTTATATAAGTATATTGATCAATTAGGTTAGATAGAACATTTACTTGTAGTAATTCGTTTATATCCTTGGCAAGTAATATGCCCTTATATGCACGTCCCTCATACTGTTTCAATCATATTAAATGTTTCTTTGTACCAGATACTTAAAACGCGTTACTCTCAAATTTCTGTTTTTACAGCAGTCCAATTTTTATATTATGCAGAAGCGATTTTCTATCGGCCTGTTGCTTTACTGACGACGTCCTACTTCGGTCGTGCGCTTTCGCTGTAGGTGTTGCTACTTTTAACTGTTTCTCGATTAAATTCATGACATTCGTGTATAGCAATTCTTTTACATCCTTAGCATATAAATAGTCCATATGGGAAAAACTCTCATAAGGAACTGTATTAAATTTCAATAAATTAGGTAATCTTTGTACAAGTTGTTTAACATCATCAATATGACCAAACCAATCGTTAGCACTATAGAATTCCACTACAGGTGATGTAATTTTTTCAACAGGATAATCAGGAGGCGTTATAGATCCGTATATCAAAGTATTTTTCAAGCCATAATCGAATCGTCGGAATTTTCCTGAATCTATCAGCTGCGCGTAATGTATTAATTGTTTCGTCGCTATACCTGCAGGTACGTGGCCGAATATTACGGGCAAAGCTGTTGCGTTTATCTGTGCAAAATCTGGGCCTGCCATAAGGAAAACTAAATTATCGCACACTAATGTTGCAGTTGCAGGAGTTCCACAAAAGGCGCTCGTAAGGAATTCCAATATTGCATTTCTTGGTGTAAACTCATACACGCCAAGCACCTGTGCGGCCTTCCATATAACTGGAGATACCGAACTAATTAATTTCACAATCGGACTTTTGGTATGAGATAGATACGACACCGCCGATAGAGCTACCATTAGTTTTATTTTATCATTGTATTCCGGCCTCTCTGAACACATCACGAAGAAAGATGTCGTTCCCTGTGAATGTCCGATATATACCAGTTGTTTCTGATTAGTTTTCTCCAAAGTATAGTCAATCATAGCTGGTAGATCGTAACGACCAATCTCGTCCCAGCTGAAGTCCCAGAACTCTGCGCAGGACGGCGACAAGCTGATGTGACGTCTAGAATGTACATTACCACGAGCGTTTCCCAACCACACGTCGTAACCAGCATCGGCAAGGAGGTAGGCAAGTCCGATACCGGGTCCAGTAGTTACGAAGTCATCAGAACTACAGAATAATCCGTGCATTAAAAAGACAACGGGGCCGTCGCTTGGTATCCGATACATGGTCAGTACGTACCCGTCGCTGGTCATGACGTCATGCTGTTCCGCACGGTATCCGTATTTTTTTAATAACTGCATTATATGTAAATCTTCGTCTTCGTTATATTCAGTTGCCTTGTACGCACTGTAAACGGAATCAAGTTCGGTGATGTTAAAAAATTCGTCCAGTGTTAATTTGTCAGCTAAACCTTTTATATTTTCAAATACACTATTAACAATTTCACCAGAGTTTTGTTTAATAATAGTACATTCTTTTCCATTTGTGGTTTTTAGTACTTCACATAATAGTATGAAGGTAACACTTAGAATTATCATTGTAGAAAAGAAACAATGTGTCTTGTCGAGCGATATTGTAACATCTGATACCACAGCCGCGTTAATAATCAGCAAAAGATTGTTCACGACCCATTTTTATACACTTCAGTACCTATTAATTACACATTAATAACTAAATTTAATAATTAAGTATTTATCAATTACCTACAATCAACACGTATTATTAACCATTTTCAAGAAAACGTGCGATAAACCATTTTAACATATCGCGAGTGCTTCACATTGGGAGTGGATATTAAAATAGATACTACATCTACTTAAGTAGTAAATATAAAACAAAGTCTCTGTCCACATATGTTTATCTGCGTTCTGGACAACCGCACACCGATATCGAAATAGTATTGTTTTGTTTTCTAAAATCTTTATTGTACATAATTCATAGTGAATACATTAAACGATTTAATATACAATAGCGGACTTATCCCATAAAGGGATACCTTACAGTCAATCAACAATAATCAACAGTATTAGTTAGGTTGTGATATATAGTGGTATAGGTAGGTAGTATAGTGCATAATAGTGTATAAAAATAGTTTACTTAACAGTGCTTGTAATATATAGAAAAGTGCATAAAAATAGCACAATAGTAATAGGCTAGTGCATAACAGTGCATTGAAATAATATTCGTAAAATGATAGAACGGTATATGTTTGATAGAGGAGGACAGAAAATCTTTGAATATATAGACATATTGATTCGGCGGCAATCTAACCTTGCCTAGTAATGGCACAAGTCGTTATTTGATAGTTTCGATCTATTTTATATGGAAAATTTTAATAGTAAGATTTTATAACTTAAACCGACAGATACGTACAGTGTAATTTATTTTATTTGCCGTGAAGCAGTTGTGTGTGTACAGAGGAATAACACCTGAGTCCTCAAGAATAACAACGCATATGGGGTATCATGGGCGAAACAGTATATACTCTGTTATGTCCATGGTACTGCTCATGTTTATAGGCGACGGTTACCACTTTCCATCAGGTGGGCCGTCAGCTTGTTTGCCATTCTTAGTTGTATATAAAAAAAAAGAATTGTATAGAGTTCTACCTATATCTATAATTTCACTAAAATAAAATTTGTAAATTAGCGTAAAATTTCACATTCAGTTGAATATTGTTTTTTTTTTATTCGAATTATTGTAATTTTATTATTAGCCAGTATTTATTGTTATTAGTGTGGTCCCTGTGGAGGTCGTAAAAGGTGACTAGAAGATACTTTATGACCAAAGGATGGGCAGCAGCGAGAGGCTGCTGTTTTAAGACATCACCAAAGACTCACTGCAGATGCCAACCCACCTGCCAATTATAAAATATCTTACATGTCTATATAAATTAACGATTATTGTATTTTGTGGTTAGCAAATAAATTATTAAAGTAAACCAAGATATGTCCTAAAGCCCAACATAATAATATGGTGTATAAATAACGAAAATCTTAGGTAGCAAACATAAAAAATACAACCGAATTGAAAACTTCCTACTTATTTTGAAATTGGTTAAAATAAAATTAATTAAATTACATACTTTATTCTAGAGGGGTTGGCTTTGACTTTTTATTAAGGGGAAAGGGCCCATGGGGCCCAGATCCTAAAGATTTTCCGAAGGCGATTGCACTGCGCCTCGTCTATTCGCCTTGAGTTTACCAGTGACTTGAGAGTCTAATACATACTTTGCGCATAAAATAAGGAACAATATTATGAGTACCCTTGGTAGGCTGCCTCGATGTAACGCGTTGGAAGTTTTTTTTTTTATGGGTGAAAATGGTATAGTAACCCCGCCTGCGTTAACAGGATACGCTGGCGGAGCACCAGTGAAAGGTGATAGATGAGAATGAAAACAGGCCAGTTAGCCCATCATGATGAATTCATCAGGAATTAACCATGATAGTTTCCAGGGGGAACCGCGTGGAGGTCGACCTGGTTGGGCATATTGCTAGCAATGGGATTCTCAGTCTCCATTACTAACAATCCCTTTCTCCCCACACGTTAGAAGTTATGATTATGCACTTACCTAATGTTTATTTGTAATATTAATTACTACTAATTTGATTCGAGAATTATTTTGTTTAATTCCGCTACCATTAGTATCTTTTAAATAAATACCTACACTTAATGTTAACAGAGATTTAAAAGAGCAACTAATGAGTTTCTTATGAGCTCTTCTCAATAGATAACAACTTTTCGAAACCTGCAGTAGATTTAAAAAAAAAATATGACAACTTAAAAGTGCTTGTAAGCAAGATTATTTGAATAAAGGTGAGAACCTGAGTTTGTGTCACCGCCAACACTCCAAAGATAATCACCACAATCCATATGGGAAAAAATACATAAGAAACTTTTTACATTTTAGTATATTTGGTAATATAGCTGTAAGTTTTTTCACATATTTAATTTCTTCTAACCAATTATCGCGACCACAGAATATCACCATAGGTCACGTATTTTTTTTTATCAACAAGATAATCAGAAGGCATAGAGCAGTCATGTCAAAGATACGGCCCGCGGGCCGCTTCCGGCCCTCGAGCTCAACATAATTACCTACCATCTTTTATAACTTTGATATGATTTTTAACAACCGTATATTATATACTTTTTTTTTTTATACAACTTAGAATGGCAAACTAGCTAACGGCCCACCTGATGGAAAGCGGTAACCGTCGCCTATAGACATGAGCAGTACCATGAACATAACAGAGTATACTGTTTCGCCCATGATACCCCCAAATGCGTTGACATTCCTGAGGACTCAGGTGTTATTCCTCTGTACCCAGTAAATACACACCATATCTCATCCTTCAAACCGAAACACAGCCATGCAAACAACTGCTTCACGGTTGAAACACGAATGGGACAGAGGTACCCAAGAAATCGACTTTTGTACAAAGTCTCCCTATGGTAACTTATATAATTTAATAAATAAAATGTTATAATAATTCAGTTCTTTTTTTTTTTTTATTTTCAATCTGGCCCACCTACACATTCAAAATTTAATATATTTGTTGTAAAATTGAGTTTGACACCTCTGGCATGGAGGAAATAAACATAAATAACAATGTTGTCCTAATCATTACCAAATTGTCTAAATGTCTTAATTGCGAACAATGTATCTACTAATTATTTGGACGTTATCTTCATATCACCTGTTAACTTCCCCCATAAGGGTTTTTTTAATTGGTGATAATGGAATGGTAACCCCGCCCGCGCTATCGGTATACGCTGGTGGGGCACTAGTAAGGGATGTTAGGTGACGATGAAAGTAAATCAGTTAGCCCATCTTGACGAATTTTACCAGAATTAACCAGGTAGAACCAAAACCAATGGTTTCCAGGGAGAACCGCGTAGAAATCGACCTAATAGAGTGTATAGCTAGCAATAGGTCAGTGAGGCCCCAACCCTGCAGTAATTGTCACGCTTGACAGGTGAAATTTACATTACCACGACCGTTTCCCAGCCACATATCATGACCAGCATCGGCAAGAAATCTTCACAATGACAGCCTTTTACAGGGTTCATGTCTCTGTCTTAAATGAATATCGGTGTGTACACCATTTGACGTTACCGTGATCTAATATTATTTTAACGACTAACAAGTATAATCTATTGTGGAATGCTCTCGCTCGGCTGTGAATAGATGGAGACGCATTGCGAGGACCTCAGTCGCGAAGGAGAACCTCATCGACGATCCACTATCATCATAAAAACCACGACCACTCTGTCAAGAGTGTACCACTGAAGAGAGAGTATAATCTAAATTTATAATAGAAACTAGGCAACCTACATTTAGTTGTCAGTATTTTGCAACATAGTTTTGTTAAACTACCAAATAAAATTTTTAATTAAAGAAAGTTGTCTTAGATTCGACCCCAGTGACTTATTAAGCGTCATAATGCTAATAACATATAACTAGCTACACGAACGCCATAAGACGGCCATTGCACAACTTTGTTAAATTACTTAAGTAGATATTTTGTTTGCGGTCTTTTGCACGTTTTGAAATAAAATTAAAAGAAAGAAAAATATTTATTTCGTGCATAATAATAATAACAATTACAAACTAAAACATAAACAATTATAAACTTAAAGAAAAAATAAATATAAAATAAGCTTACTAGGTGTAATAGAATTTATGCGACCAAAATGGTCACCACTCAGCTACGAGTAAGTGTTTAGGCATTCGTACATAACGCCTAAACGCTGATTTTCTATGGGACCAATGGGAGTGGTAGATGGCGCTACTAAGTAGACATATTTTTATATGAATATAGCATATACAACTATTTACCAGCATAACAATAACAATTATGTAATATTTTTGTAAACAATTATGTATTAAATTTGCCTCTATTTTTCTTGTTCTGTACTTCTATTTTAAATGAAATATAATTAGCTAATATATATCGACTGTGAAGACGAAGATGTGTGCATGTTGGGAGGTCCGTGGCTACTACGTGGGCCGGTGCTGGCAGGGAGCCGGTCTAATTCCTTGCTATCAGATATGTTGAAGCGTATAGCAATCATATATGGTAAAAAAAAAACCAGTGCATGTTGCCAGTGATGACCTATGGCACCGAAACATGGTCCTACATGGTTGTCCATATACAAAAGCTTCAAATTACTCAGCGAGTTATGAAGAGCGCTATGCTCAGATTTTTTTTGCCTGACAGAATCCGAAATGAGGATATCCGCAAAAGAACTAAAGACACCGGCATAGCTCGTGTACTCAGTTTAATTTGAAACTAAAATTAAACTGAGTACAACGTGACGAATTCTCGGAATTGTTTTTTTAATGAACTACATGCATACATGATTTTTAAATGTAGACTACCGGTCTCATTATGAGACTGGTAGTCTACATTACTAACAATCCCTCCTCCCAGCCAGACAATTTAGTATCAGAAAACTTGGAGAGACACTAAGCACCCATTAACCACTAGTAATTCTCCTTTTCCAGCAAAACGACCGCCCGTGGAGGAGACAGCGTCGTTCCTACAATCGCTGCTGGCGTCTCACGGACCCAATTACCTGGAGAAACTATTCGGCAGCAAGGCAAGAGACGCGTTAGAGCCGCTAGGTGGCGTTGAAAAGGTCGCCATTGCTCTATCAGGTATGGTAAATAAGTTTTATATATTAACGATTACGTGATGGACCAACAACCTGGTCTGGACTGCCTATATGATTGATAATATCGGCAGGCTATAATAAACTAACTACCTATGACTGACAGACAGATCAGCCAGCCATTATTGTAATCATTGTTACGTTAAATCCATACAATTAACAAATATAATTAAAGTCAATATTGGTATACGTTATTAAGGCAAAAATGAGGAATCATGAAGGCAAATTAAATATTATTTTGATTTTATACATATGAGAATGAATAAGTATGTTCTTATTTTATCTCGTATACGTGGTGGCGATAACATATCTACCGACAGATTCATTTGTCACTTGTTTAGAAGTTAAAATAGTAACTCCGCCAGAGCTGTTAAAATATGCTGACAGTGTATCTATTAGGAATGACAGATGACAACGAAATATTCAGTTCTTCCCATAGACTTAGTATAGCGCACTATATACTTAATAATCTAAAATTAAACCATAGGGACGAATGAATTCGTCGAAATTTAACTAGGATGATGTCCAGGAAAAGCCACGGACCGTGTAGAAGTCAACCTGATAAGATAATATTAGTGGCAATAGAACTACCATACACTATTTCTAACAATCTATTACCTTCACTTCTCTAGGAAAATAGAGTTTTTTTATAAACCATTAGTCACAAACTTGATGCATCCAAATAGAATAAATTAGTATAAAAAATGTGGCCCAGTGTCGTATGTACTATTCAAAAAGTACAGGCGCTGATTCATACACATGTATGGGTTTAAGCTTCATAGTAGTCCAGGAAACAATAAATATTCATTCACTCCGGATATTGTCAATCAAATCACGGATAGTCGAAATATATGTATGTTCAACAGTGCACAGTGCACGTAGAATGAGTAATATTAACGTTACAATAAAAATCAGAGAAAATGACTGTGTCAACATTGTTTAGCTATTAGAGGATTGTAAAAAAATGATCTTCAAGAACTTCGGTCCTGTTTGTTTTTGCCCCCATACAGCGAAACTAAAAAAAAAACACTAGAAAGTCGAATATAGCAGTGAAATTACAGAGTATAGAGACAACAAAGTCCTCGGGAATGACTACACATGAAGGTTACCATAGGCATCACAGTGTACTCGTATTTTATGAAGATATCTCAGGTAGCAACATGACATCTGCAATTCAAATAAGACGTCAGTTTTAAATGATTTTAGAGTCGATGACTGAAAATCGCTGTCAATATGACGAATAATTGATTCTTGGGTTGATGATCTTGTCTATATGCGACCATCTTAACTTCTCGTAATGTAATTCGTCAGCTTGTTTGCCATTTAAAGTTACATCTAAATAAACCTATTTAATGAAATCTCTAAAAATAGACTTCTAATTGCCACATAGGCATGGCTTATGAATAGTATGTATTACGATGGTTATTTTAGTAGATACATAAAATAATACGAAATGGAAATTGATTATATATTTTTAATTTTTCAGAATCTCAAACCATCGAAGATTTTGGAGCGGCGCTTCACCTAATGAGATCAGATCTGGAACACCTCCGCTCCGTGTTTATGGCGGTTGAGAACGGCGACCTTGGCATGCTCAAATCTCTCGGCATCAAGGACTCAGAGCTCGGTGACGTCAAATTCTTCCTGGAAAAATTGGTTAACACCGGTTTTCTTGACTGAATAGCACCGGAGTCTGCCTCTGAATACTACCATGTCGTCCAATTTGCCCCCCTCAACCCCTCCTTCTACAGCTACCTTCCTTATGATTCTGTGAAATATCGAAGAAAGTAAATCGATTGTTTCCACAATCTTGTGCGAATGTTTGTTATTTGTGTTAATTCATATTGCAATAATGGGAGACGACTGTTAGTCATCAGAACCGACTTCTACAACCGGCCACGTAGACTCGGTCTGATCCTAACAGTTTTTCCCGCATATTACTTTGCAGAAATATACAGGCAGAGGATATTGATTTTTAAAACGCCTTAGAATAGGTATATTTTTGTATAGATAAATGCATTACTCGAAAAACGTTTAAACGTTTTCTGAACATTTAATAAACTAAACCAGACGATAGGTTATGCTGGGGACTTCTCGCGTCATCGTCACTCTATGTGCATATGAGCTCAATATTTCAAGAGAGTGCAGACTGTAACCAAGCGTCGTATCTCCTTCAAATATGGATTTTAAAAGCCATATAGCGCATTTGACTGATGAGCCTGGCCATAACCTATTGGATGTCGTGTATGTGTGTGATTGTACAGAATGTATGTCGCCCCTTTGGTGATTACTTACTCCTAAATTATCTAAAGTCAGAGGCGACTCCGTAGAAAACAACGTCCATTCTAAGCGAGATATAAAGCTAAAAGTCGGTTGATTTCGTTTGAGTGAGTCCTTAGATTATAAATTATTATGAATCGTTGAAAGAATGTATGCGCTTTATATCTGGCTTTTTGAAAAATCCAGAATAGGACCATGGATACATATCATAAACTTAGAGCGTAGGATTAAATACATATCATAGATTATAATCAGTAGTGAATAAAGTACAATTATTTTAATATGATGTGTATTGTAGTGTTTATGAAACATTTTATAGATCACTTTTAGTAGATTTTTTGTCAACATTGAAATAATATAGATAGTTGAAGCATGTTAAACGGTGCTGCACATCAAACATATCAGAATTATGTGATTAATAATAAATGTTAGATTATTGTGTGTTATTTTTATTATTATAGTACCTAGGTACGTATAATGTAGTTGCAGAATTAGGTAGCAATTTGATCTTCGTCACAATATCTGACTATTGTCAACTAGTGTTACATCCACCTTCGTCATGCTCACTGTATTGTTTTCAAATCTTCGATGTTGTCTATAGTGAAACTTTTGTCAAATGCGGGCTAAAAAGACAACGAATTACAATGTAACGTGTTAAAATTATATCAAATGATAATACGTGATGTGATATTGGATATCATTCGTGTTTACCTAGGTAGAATGGTGACTTCTGGAACTCTAATTACACGACAACATTTAGTCATTTTAGAGTCATCTAAAACGCTAAAGTTGACGTCTATTTAGAATCGTAGACGTGACCATACCATCCGGGTTAAAAAAAAAACAGCCATCAGTAGATTTTGGCGATACATCAATAACGTACAATTAGCTTCATAAAAAAGAAAGGAATTGAAAAATTTGGATGTTTTATTAGCATTTTTAAATTTGTCAAATTATTATAAAAACTAAAATATCTTTTACTTCTTCAGATCAAGTCATTAATGACATAACACGTTGGAATAATCACGTTGGACCTTTTATGGGGTAGACAAGAGATACTCTCTGGTTATATTTAACTTTTGTCATTATAAAAAATTAATATCCATACAATCTCGAAAACATGTTACTAAGGGAATACTATTAATAAAATTTTAGATGGATTTCTAAAATTATTACTAATTACTTAATAATAATATATAAAATTTAATGTACCCTCTTTATGATTTTTATATGACTTCAAATAAGTTAGTATATATGGGAGGGTTACAGGATATCTATACAGCTCTGAACTGATTTGGATTTTTTTTTTTTTATATTGGTTTCCTTCGTGTTAGTTCCGTATTAATTTTGCCATAATTGAAATTCTGTTTTTAACAAAATCTTAAATTATGAAATCTTTACAACAATGATATATGAAGCTGACTGTACTAGTACTGTACTAATTTTAAATTAAAGATCGTTATAAATAAGTGGTATTGAGATAGATAAGAGCGAGCTCGTGATGGGATGGATCCTAGAGACATTGTGACCGATTGAAGATTACAGCCTGTATTTGTCAGAAGTTGTATGAAACCAAATGATGTTCCATCGCTGAATCTTCATAAACGATAAGGTACACCCGTAGTTTCTCAATTTGACAAAGCGTCGATCCTATTACTAGCGTTTCATGTTTACTATTTTAACTACATATATAGATAGTGTTTAAGCGAGTTTATAAATAACTATATAGTTTAAAATTAGATTATATTTTAACTTGCGTCAGATATAGCTAACAATTACTAAATGTCTACAAAAATGATCTTTGATCTCTAATAGTCGATATTATGTGTTTTTGACTAAGTATAAATGGCTTATTGTTCTTAATTAACAAATCAATAAATGATTCATCTTGAATTTTTGTTTCACTCGACGACATTTTTGACGCGATCGAGTTGGGTTCGAATGGACGTCAAATGTAACATGCTTTTGACGTTGAAACGACGTCACTCTATTTGGTCCCAATTACGTTAGAGGGTTACACCTGTTTGTTATCTATACTTATAATAAATCTGTAGAGAGGTCAATTCTGTACATGAAATATATTTCCAAAATAACTATCAAGGGGTGATTAGTGATAGTAAAATTTTTGTCTGTCTGTCTGTATGTTCGTTATAGAAACAAAAACTACTTGACGGATTTTAACGAAACTTGGTACAATTATTCTTCATACTCCTGGGCAGGTTATAGTATACTTTTCATCACGCTACAAACAAAAGGAGCAGAGCAGTAAAGGGAAATGTTGGGAAAACGGGAGAAGTTATCCCATTTTTAAGCTTCCGTCGCGTGTGCAGCCTTAATGGCCACTTTTTTAAATGTAAAAATATCCACCCGTGCGACGACGGGACGGGCCGCTAGTTATTATAATAAAATACAGAATACCGTTCATTAATACGTATAATTTTGAACTATATTTACAATACATTGTACCAAAATTGTACACTGCTATAAAATTACCATTTACTGTACATACATGCACCTATTTATAAAATGAAATTCTACTATCGTCAAATGCAACACGAATTATGATGAGTGAATAATTCCTTATATATATATTTTTTTTAATAAATACTTAAATATATAATTTATTCAACACTCATTCATATTAAAACTACGAGGCACAATTTGTAAACATATACCTAATGTAATTCAGCCCCTTTTTTTCAAAATCTATAAAAAAAATACTCTTAATTAATCAGCGACCACATTTATTTAGGATTTATAGGAGAGTAGAAAAAATATTAGTAGTAAGATATTTTTTTAATGGATGATAATGTAATGGTAACTCCGCCTGCGCTATCAGTATACACTGGCGGGGCACGAGTGGTTTCCAGGGGAAACCGCGTGGAGGTCGACCTGACAGGGTTTGCTAGCAATGGGGCCGTTAGTCCCCATTACTAACAATCCCTTACCCCCCGGGATTTTCAAATTATATCTGGTGACAAAAAGCAACAACAAAACTTTTCCTGGGACTAATACAATAGCAATGCACGATCACTTCGTAATCGTTTGCTGTCAAAGATAATGGTATACGTAACACGATGGCTTCCTTATGACTAGGTGGTCTCATACAAACAGCACCATTAACAATCAAGTGGCAATAGAGAGAACTAATCCATTAATTTTAGTTCCTAAATCGCTCGGCAGAGGCAGCATAGACGCTAACTCGCTAATCGCTTTAATAAAAAAAATGAAAATTGACACAAGGTCGAGAAGCGTATAATAAACAGCACAGGGACTAGTTACAATAGGCGTTTGAAACGTGCATAAAAAAGTACGCAGCGCTTCAAGCGTTTTATTAACAATCATTCAATCATTTATACAAAGAATTATAGTTTTCATTTAAGTCGCTGTTCTCTTTTTAAAGTTTAAATTATTCACTCATCTATTCCGATGGCATATGACAATAATATCTAGTTAATTAGTAATATTACAGTCTTGATGTAAAAACTGTGAATGAATCATGAGCACACTGCTTAATTCTTATGTGGACATGAATAACAGACACGAAACATTATAACAATTAAATCTATTCTTATAAACTAATAATAAATCTTAAAAATAAATTGGGCAGTCGAAGATTTATCATCTTAATAAATATTAACACTGATAAAAATTACATTAAGTGCCTTTCCATACGTCCATCAGTAAGATTTCACATAATCCGGTCATAAAATTGCAGGCGATTAATATAAAAGCTGCCACAAGTACATTTTGGTACATAATTTAAATTGTTCCACAGAGAAAAACAACGTCAGTTGTGGCAAAAATAATTATTTTGTTTTTAAAAACTAAACTACTGAATAGATTTGAATATAGTTTCCATGGGTTCAAGTTCCAATCCAATCTGTAAACAAACCCTTTCAAATAAAACAAACACCCAAAGAATTTTCAAATCAGATTACAACTGACGGAATTATAAGGTAAGAAACATAAAAAAATACAACCGAATTAGGACCCTTCCTTAAAAGTCGGCTAAAAAATGCTGCTGAAGGGCAACGAACTGATATGAATCGCCCGAAATCATAATAATACATCCAAATCTGTTCAGGCATTTAGAAATTACAATGACATTAACTCTCATACATACATACGTGGACCCTAAAAAAATTACTCCCTTTTTGGGTATCGTGTAAAAATTAGATACATTTCGTTTAAAGGGAAAGGGATTGTTAGTAATCTAGTCTAATTGTCCCCTTACTGGTAATATACCCTATCAGGGCGACTTCCACGCGGTTCCCCCTTTAAAATATCGTGGTTAATAAATGTGAATTCATCACAATGGGCCAACTGACCTCATCATCATCCTTACCTATCACCTCTCACTGGAGCTCAGCCAGTGTATACCAATAGCGGGGGTGGGGTCACTATTTAATTTTCACTCATTAAACATATCTATGTATGTGATCTTTCTTATGCATGCACTAGAAGAAATGTCAGATGCTGCTATCTCGCTCTATCATAGGCACGGGATAAGAATAACACCGACCGCATGTGAAATCGTAAACTCGAACATACGAATAGACACCTTATTATATTAAAGATATTTAGTGCAGATATCAATACAATTTAGTGAGCTTCTATAATTTTCCAATACAGAAGCCAACCACAAATTCAGATCACTATGTCACGTATAAAACAGAAATCCAATTAAAGCTCTTCATACTTAACGTAACAAATATGGGATAACAACGCAAAATCCACTTGTATATCATATTGAACAATTAACTGGATAAAATAAAAAAAAAATAAACAAAAAATTATTGCAGTTTTAAAAGAGTATTCCACCAATAAAACAGAGCATTATTCCCACAGATTTTTTTTTTTATACTACGAAGGTGGCAAAGGCATACAGCCCGTCTGATTAAAAACGGTCACTGTAATCTATGGATGCCTAAGACATTAGGGGTGTGCGCGTTGCTCATAAAAAAAGGAGGGAAAAAATAGATTCTTCCATACTAACAACTCCAGCTGTTAACTGGACGCGCTGTACATTTAGTAAGTAACCACTTTCTGTACGAGATGCTCAAACTGGTATGTTATTTCTCAACATATGTTTCATTGGAAAAATTGTTCACTTTTTCTATAGAAGAAAGTGAGATTGAACCTTCCTTTATCGCAAGAGATGGTACTAATTTCAATTTCATCTTATAGACGAACTATTAATTCTTTGAGTCACGAGATCTTTGAATCGATTTACTGAGAAACATAAAATATATAATACATAATATAAACATTGTGATGAACGGTCCCGGCAGCGAATGGGTCACCTTTTCCTTAAGAGGTGTCGTAAGAGGCGACTAAGAGAACTTAATGGGCAGCAGCGTCCCTTTTAAAACATATTTTTTATCTCTTCAAATACCTCTTTGAACATCAATTCTATGACTGGATTTCGACTTGTTATACCCTGATCCACCTGCACACCTGTTACACCTGCATCCAACACAAAATAAAACCTTCTTCAAATAAACATTAAAACGAAACAAATTAATAAAATAACAGTTGTTAAAAAGAGTACAAATTGAATTTAACACCAACAGTGCTTAGGTACGGTAAACGTTAATACGCATTGTGAATTTTTTCACGTCAAATTTTTTTCACATACATTTCGTATGAATAAACTATATTGAAATATAGATAGAATTCTTCATCTACAACAGTCCAATTTTTTTATTTTTGTGCAGCGAATCTGTATCATAGAACATAATTCAAAATCATTACTAAAAACACTAAAACAATATCGCGCCATTTTTTTTTAAATAATACACACACGTCAGCAATTGGTTAAACGTATCACACTCGACGCAATTATTTACTAGTGTAGATTATTTACATGATTATTACCAGAGGGAGACTTTGTACAAAAGTCGTTTGCTTGGGTACCTCTGTCCCATTCGTGTTTCTACCTAGAAGCAGTTGTTTGCATGACTATGTTTGACAGTGAATTCACAGGGTACAGAGGTATAACACCCGAGCCCTTAGAAATGGCAACGAATGGGGGGTATCATGGGCGAAACAGTATACTCTATTATGTCCATGGTACTGCTCATTTCTATAGGCGACGGTTACCACTTTCCATCAGGTGGGCCGTCAGCTTGTTTGCCATTTTAAATTGCATAAAAAAATGCATTTTCCTTATAGTTTCATTATGTTGGATAACAGAATCGTGGAAACGATCAAAATGTAAATCCCCAATGCGTAGTAACATGAACAGATAAATTATCCTGAGATATTATTAAACACAGACGTTGTTGGTGGAATGACAATGCCGTACGTGTAACATATAAAGTCGTCAACATAAAAAAAAGTTCAACTAATAATAATAATAATAATGTTACTTATAAGACTTTCTTATAAAGATTGAACACGAATTTTTTAATTTGAAAATCTATTAAATTAAAAAACGACTCTACCTCGTTTAAGATATTAACTATTTTTACAATAGAAATATTTCTAAATACGAGAAATGTTTCTTAGAACAAAGTTACAAGTAAATTAGGAATTATTAATAATAATAGCAAGTTGCTACTACCTGATTCCGGTTCTAAAACAACAATGTATCACATAATATCATAAAACTCCGTTTAAAATTCTGCAAACTTGCTAGAAGTTGTAATCCAATACTAGTGTGTTTTATGCTTAGACCATATAGATAGAGTGTCTTCATACAAATGCATCGAGAAAAGTGGGTCAACTTTTTCATACAATTTTGTGTGTAAAATAGCTTCCTTTACAACTTGTGTATTTGTTTTATAAATTTTGCATCTTTTTTAATACGTAAAAACTCATTTTATTTATTATATAATTAAATATAGATACGTCAAGATACATTATGTGCGTAAGTATATAAAACACTGAAAAAAAAAGATTAAGCTAATTTGACAAAAAGTTAACCCGTTTTTGAGACTCGATGCTCTATCTATATAATCCAGGTTTTATGGTATTTATTTACAAAATATGTTGTTGATAATATATAATAACAACGTATCAATATTACCATTTCGTTTATGTTCTATTAAATGTATTTTACAATCAGTCAGACAATTATAAAACATAACTAAAAATTGTTTTTTTTTTTTGTTCGAGCCATTTTTGATTGGATTTTAAGAATGGCAATCTCCAATCATAAAACCATAAAACATAACAATAAAAATCTATAGATAAGCGCACCGCAAACTAGAAAAAATTGCGTTGAATCTTAGATCGTAGTAACGGTATACTGTCTATAGGTTGAACTTTTGCAATAAACAATATATTTATAGTTTTTATAACTTTAGCTTGACGAAGTATGGCAACATCGCATTTTTATATCAATATTAAAAAAAAAAATTACTAATTTTCAATGTTTTACCAATTGATTATTTCAAGTGCTCTGATAACGAAGTAAACTGTCAATGCAACAATATACTTTTGCTGCTGCAAGTTTTTATTTTGGTGTTAAAAAAATATTTGAAAAATTCCAAAGTAAACGATATAAAATAACCGTATGGTCCCGGCATAGAGTAGGCCACCTCTTCCTTTCCCGTGGTTGTCGTAAAAGGTGACTAAGTGAGGACGAGAGATGGGGAGCAGCGTCTCTTTTAAAACATTTCCAAAGCTTAATTGCGGTTGTCAATCCGCCTGCCAAGCATAACAACTACTGGCAAACTCCCCCCCCCCCCCCCCCCCCCCCCAAAGGGGAGGCATACGTTCAGCAAAGTTCACCGGTTAAAGGCCGATATGATGATGATGATTAAACAACATAAAGTAGGTAGACATTTTTTTTTTAAATAGATTTATATGCAAAATATTCTGGAATTAATATTTTACTTCGCTATCAGAGCAATTTTTAAATAATCAAAACAATGAAAATTATTTATTTTAAAAATAATAATTAGCAGGTTTGTTACACTTCGTCAAGCTATAAACAATCTAAAGTCTTTTACCATTGATATAACACCATGTACAAATTATAAAATTGGTAATATATTTATTCTTTTGCATACTTTAAAATATTTATACAAGGTGGACACAACACCTTGATTACAAGCTAAATGGTATTGTTACAGACGTATTTATTAATTGAATCATGCTAAAAAGTTACCTGAATGTACATGCATTATATAAGTTTAAATTTGTAAACTTCTTTCACAATACATAAAATATATTCTTGGTGATCTATACTGGATTTGGATATTTCAAAATCCATTGCCACTTCACACATTGTGATATTAAAAATAAAAATTGACAAACACAAAATTGTATTCATACATTATTTATATTTACTCACTAAATTGTTTATAAATGCCATTAACTACAGGAAAAATTATTAATTTCGTTTTCCCCGTTTCCGAGTGGTACTCTTCTCCGCTCTCCTCTGATCTTCCTCGTCCATTTTATTATAATGCGAATGAATGTGAGTAAGAAGTTTCTTTTCCCTAGAAAATGTTGCGTTACACATATTACATGAATATTTTTCTTTTTCCTTCGTCTCTGTTTCTTTTGCTACGGATGTAGATGTGGAAATTTGTGACTCTTGAATAATATTATCTGTTGGCAACACATATGAAGGTTGTAATAAAGGATCTACATTAATAAACGTGAAGAACCCAGGATCCTTTGGATGGTTAGCAGCTTCTAATGTCACAGAGAATGGCTCCTTTGACTCTTCAACATTACGGTCTGCCTTAACCTTTTTGGATCGTTTCTTTGGAACTTCCTCCGCTGGAGCTTGGGGTTGAGGCTTTGTGGAAATTAGTAATTTACTCGGATTACCAGTTTGAACAATTGTATATGATTGTTTTTTCATAGCAGGGGTTGTAAATGTTGGTGGTTCTGGAAGTGGCGGTGGGTAAGTACGATGGGCTACTGTTTGAAATAGTCCTACTGGATACGGCTGTTCGGAGGTAGATTTTTCAACATCTGGTTGGGCATCTAAATCAATAATGGTAGAGGAGTAATTTGGTGTAGCAACTCTGCTTTTATCTTGTTTGTCAGCTAGTATGTTACTATTATTTTGCACAACCTGTGTCTTCTTAACATCGTCTGATTTCCTCTTTTTCAAAATTGAATTGGATTTATGAGAATTTACAGTTTCATTTGCTTGCGTGTCACTACTTACAGTTTGATTTATATCTTCAACTAGAGTAAATGTGTTATTAGGCCCAGGCATTAACTTGTAACGTCCTTGTAAACTTGGCATAGCTGGAAAATTTATAGTAGGAGCAGCTGCATTTGGTATTGGTGTTGCGGACTGAACAGTTGACTGCGGTTGTGATTGGCTTACTTTTAATGGAACATTTGTATCAGTTGTTGGTGTACCTGAAGAATTTGATTCATTTTGTTCCCGCCTAATTTTACTAGCAGGACCTATTCTCGGCTTAGGTTTTGTTTCTGTAACTGAAGGTGTATTAACCTCAAGGTCTATTGTTTTTTTCAATTCATTATTTACTTTCGTATTTATATATTTTACAGTAGTCACTTTTGGAGGCTCCGGTGGAGGTATATTTGCTGTGAAATCAACCTTAGGAATACCATTTTTGGCGCAAGCATGAGACATAACAACTTCCTTCGTTAAAAAGTTCCTATTACATAATTTACACTGGAATAATACACCCACACCATTAACTTTGATCATACTGACATGATCCATAATGTTAAATAAAGGTTTCACAGTTTTTGGATTATTTGTAACACTGTTTTTCGTTTCACTTTGTTTCTTCACATTTGATGTATCTTCATCCTTATAATCAATACTTAGGCTACTAACACTGGTAGATTTTGGCTTATTATTTGATAATGTATCTAAGCTTTTATTTTCATTGTTATTTTCGGACAAATGGGGGCTATTTTTTTCATTTTTTAAGCTCTGCTCATCTGCAACACTATGTGCTTTCTCAGAATTATTTAACCGCGAAGTTCTAGTTACCCTTTGATCACATTTATCAATTTTTAATTTTACCTGTTTTAATTGCACATTACTTTTACTATCTGGTGAAGTAGGATTATTAAGTTCCTCTTTTAAAGTTGAAACTGGTGAAGGCATCCTATTTTTCACATCTGACTTTTTATTAGGAATTACATTTTGTTCATCCAATGATAGAGTTTTCAAAGGAATATCTTTGATACCTTCCATAGCCCTTTTAATCAGAGCATCACATATGTCATCATTTGACATATTCGATTTATTTAATTTTTCTTCCCAAACAGATCGTGTTTTAGGTTTTAAAATAACAGGCGCTTTCTTTCCCATAGTGCTATGTAAATTTTCTTGTGTATTGATACATTTCTGTACAAATTCATGAAGTTCTTCTACTTTTGCTGAACATCTAAAACAGATCTTGTGAGGTAGATCATCATTTTCTGCAATCTAAAAAAAAGAAAAAACAATATTGTTATTATAAAAATATAAGAATAAAAACCCCATACAATAAACAAAATTTTTGGTCTATAAATACTCTGTATTAAGAAAAATCAGAAAAAATACAAACCTATCTGGTTTTTATCTATATTTTATTATCTACTAGATATATGTCATTTTACCCGCAGTACCATGGACATAACAGAGTATACTGTTTCGCCCATGATACACCCCATGCATTGCCATTCCTGAGAACTCAGATGTTATTCCTCTATACCCTGTAAATTCACGCCATATTCCACCCTTCAAACCGAAACACAGCCATGCAAACACAACTGCTTCACGGTAGAAACACGAATGGGACAGACATTAAATAAAGATGTACAAATGGCGAGCTTAACCTTGGCAGAGTTCTCTTCCAGCAAACCCTGAGTGGAAAGGAGCATTAATTACCAGCGGACAGTGTATAATTAGCATTACTTACAATTCTTTCCCCCCAAGGGTTTCAGATTAATTTCAGTTTTCACTGCTATTCAGCATAACTATGTTTTATTTATATAAACATGACAAAAACATAGTTTTGCAGTAATTTGGCGCTATCGAGCATGTTTAGTGTACTAAGCTACAAGTGATGAAGTCATTTACCCTTCTTTGCATGGTTTTTATTATTGGTAAAATAAATCAAGGTGATATAATTAATATTAAAATTAAAAGAAAAATGGTAAAAAAAAAAATATTTTACAACTATGTTTTTTTTTTCTGCAATGGACATTAAAAAGGTATCCAGACACAATCAACTTAAAGTGAACTTGTTCTTTTATATAATTTTTGGGCATCTAATGTTATGATGGGAATTTCTACAGATATTCAAAGAAGGGTTAAATAATATAAAAGAAAAAGTTAGTCCAAATTAAGTTTTTATTTCAAAAATACAAATCATACTTTGTATGGGTTTATATATTAAGGATTAGTTGAAATATCAGAGACTAGATAAAGACTGATTGTGATTGTGTATTTATTTCTCTTCTCACAAAAATATGTCTATATACATATATATGAAAAGTTTCAGTTTTAGTTTTAGCTGAAACTGAGCCTGAAGCTGAAAGTCTGTTTCAGTTTTAGCCAATAAAAGTAGTGTTAGTCAGATACTATTTATTTTAGCAAATCCACATATATATTTATCCTTTTATAAACATACAACAGTGGATTTCGTGTATAACTATGATGAAGGGACCACTCTATTTTCATCGTTATATCCGGAAGTTGTTACAGACAAAGGTAAAGAGATACAGACACATACACATGTATAGTTTTTTTTTTCACACAAATCAGCATTCTTTCCACCATTTTTCAATTTTGAAATGATTTTCACCTTTTTTTCTTTAACAGTGAATGTGCATCGAGACAGTCATACTTATTTAAAAGTTTACTAAACTCAATTGCTACTCAGAGCATCACTTTGTAACTGGACCATAAATTCAACTCCGAAACATACACACTTCCCTACCTACTTAGCTGATATCTATAAACAATGGGTAAAGGTCTTCATACTTGCTGAGTGGATGTAAACAAATCTTGGTGTCTCTTTGGGAGCCAACTTTGGTCTCAATATCTACATGGGATTTCTAGGAATTTGTTACAATAATTCATTAAAAACAGTCGCTACACCTGAACTTGACGTTACATCCAAAGTCGCTATAGCCACATTAATTTTGTACTAAAGCATGCTTCAAATTCAATTCGCTATAGGTAAATGAAATACACTATATATATGTTGTAATATTTTAGCAAAACTAATGTATACCGACTGTTTTGTATGTGTATTGTATTGTGCATGTGTGTGTATGTATTGTTTGTTTTGTGTGTATGTGTATGTATTGTATGTATCATGTGTGTATGTATCATGTGTGTATGTATTGTGTGTGTATAGTGCATGTATATGTGCACTGATTTAAAAAAATGTGTCATGTAAGATAAGGGTATAAACCATAAAAGATTCCCTTATGGGTACACAGTGACTGAAGATAGATATAAGATAATCCATTACTAGAAAATTCAGGATTATGAGCTACATGCAGGTCAGTTGTTTTTGTTCTCAAGTATCTTCTATCTTTAAAATAAGATACTCTACTGTGCCAAAATCCCAAATCCAAAATCTTACCTTAAATGGCATCAGTTGGTCGACTTTGGTCGCAGTGACCTGTTCTGGATCAAAAATATTTAAAAACGGTCCGTCTTTAGTGCCACATAGCCTGCATACTTTCATCAACACAGGTTGATTTGATACACTTAATGTTGCAGCCAATACATTAGATTTTATACAGTCTTCAGTAGGAAAAGTAGAAGCCTTTACTGGCGGTGGCTTCGCCGACTTAGATTTCTTTCTTGATTTAGCCATTTTGTTTCAAATTCTAAATATGAAACGGGTGTAACCGCGAAAATTATGTACGTTGTGTTAAACAACACACAATTGAATTAAACGTCTCCGTAAAAAAGTTGATACAGAAAAAAATATCCTCTTTACATCTATCAAATTTCTCATAAAATTTAAGAAAATAATGAATGTCAACCACAAAAGTACACAACATGGCTGAACTAAAAACAACAGTTTAAAAATACTCTATTTATTCTGTGACAAATATTATAGAATCTATAACGTTGCTACAGATAATACTATGTAGATTATAAACAGAAGCTAAAAACAGCCATTATAGACAGAAAATAAAAACAGAAGGTTAACTCGATAAAAACTTAATATAAAAGGAATAAATGCCTAGTTATTATGCCCAGTATTAATTTGATAAATGAATTAAATGTGGTATCAAATAAAATTTACCACAAACATATAAAATTGATATTTTATAACCACGTTAACTTTCTCGCATATATTTAAACTTGCAATAAACAGTTCCATTCTAACATAGTGATTACTTGCTCTGTGTTCTCATCACTCAATTCTCAGTGTGAAGCAGTTATATTTGCATAGTTATTTTACGGTTTGAAGCGTGGGATATGGCGATGAAATTATAGGGTACAGAGGCATGACACTGAAAAAAGAATTAGTTTATTAATAAGTAAAAATTACAAATAAAAAATAATAATATATGTATATATTAGATAGAATAAACAAAATCAGAGTGTGGGTAGTTACAATCCCCTTAGGTTATAAACGTAAAAAAAAAATCCGTCTCAGTTTCAGAAATACCCCACTCTTCTCAATGTTATTTCAAGTCTTTAACTTCAATACACAATGTGTCTTGAACTACTAACGATTATTATATATAATGCTCGCTAGTTCTCGACTTATAATTCCATTACAATCTTAAATTGGCAAAATTTAATTAGACTTAAAGATTATGAGCATTCTAGAACTACTAAATTTGTCAACAAACGGAGAATGAAATTAAAATGGCCGTTTAAATTTAAAATTAGAAACAGTTAAATAGACAACTAGTAAAAAAACTACTTAGCAGATGTTATAATCATGATTAAGAAATATACAATAATTTATATCAAGAATCCTCTTAACCAATTAATAATATACAAACTATTAATACCTTTCCACACAAAAGCAAAGCATAAGCGGTTATTGCACAACTTATCTAGTACTGTACATGCCTATAGACTATTGTTGCTACTTTCCATCGGGTGGGTCGTCAGTATGTTTGTCATTCTACACTATGTAAAATAGATTTAGCTTTCATTAATTGGGGTAGTTGCCATTAATAAAAATAATTTTATGAAATGAATGTTTTATTTGTTTTCTTACATTGTGGCTATATCCAACAGTGCCAATTAGTATTACCAGATTAAGCTTAATTAGCAACAAATGTAACTTGTTTTATTGATATCTAACCTAATCTATTTTCATTTTGCCCTGAAAAGTTTCGAATTAAAATCCTTGGAGCTTTTGATGGTGAAAATATTTTAAAAATCAGTTGAGTTGTATTTACGTTTATCTAATACAAATGAACAATTAAATCTCTCTTTATAATATATATGTATACAATAAAGATAAACCAACTGTTATATTAATTTAGCCCGGTTATCTTTTTTTCTTATTAGGCCTGCGGTTCGTTCATGTCTATAGGCAACTGTTATTATTTTTTGTCAACTATTAGTAAAGATTTCATTATTCCTTGTTCTTTAGCTATTAAGATTCATAATAAAAGATTAGTCATTTTAGCCTTAAAACAAAATATAGCGGTATTTGATTTAACCTGAAAATTGGAAATTATATTGGCAACATCGATGCCAACTGCCAGTCGGTCAGCCGACGCCATCTTGAATTTAGTATTGTGTGCCAGTCGGGGGGGCGGTGACATATTTTACCCGTCATCGTAATAATTTTGGTGATAATCCCGAGAAAAAGCAAAAATAAGTGACGTTTTAGGTGTAAATAGTTTATCAGGTTTAAACGTGAGGATGGCGGGTCAGACTATTAATGATAGGCTTTTAGCCGCTCGTCATAGTATCGCCGGACAGGGATTAGCAAAATCAGTATGCAAAGCTACCACCGAAGAAATGATCGCTCCTAAAAAGAAACACTTAGATTGTGAGTATTGTTGATGTATTTTAGCTGTAGATTTAATATTATCGGTTTTATGGCCGAGTAGTTTTTCTGTTCAACTTCGATGACAGTTTCGTCGCCAGTCATTTTATGGTCGATAAAATTTCATAATCTTGAATAGATCGTGTCGATAAACTCGATGCGATTCAAGTTCGGAGGACACACCAACATGTAATATAATAAAACTATCACGTGGAAACATGTTTTCGATCGAGCCGTTTGTCGGTGTCGAAACATTTTTACATCATTTACTCTCACGGCTTCTAATAATGTAACTTGACACAGTTTTCATATTATGTCATGTGAACATTGTAAGCCGACAAGGGTTGGCATGTAACATGTTGGTAGGTAATCTGCAAAAAACTTGATTGTATTCCACTTTTATATAATAATCCTATTAGGTAAACCACTTGGCGTGGTAATGTAATAAACACTGTTATATGTAAACAAATCTTAAGTAGAAACTAATTTGTTAAGAAGCTATCAAAATATAAGTATTGAATCCATTACTACCCACTGATAAATTTGTTTCACTTACAGTTTTATTTGCTAATCATTCTCTCACTTTATTGTTTATATCATATTTCTTACAAAAATTCACATTTGTAATTTGAAAATTAGCCAATAAATGGCTTAAAAATTATATCATTCTATATAGTAGTAATCATTTGTTTAGTCATAACAGGAAAGCAAAAGTACAAAGCTATACAACCTAATCTTTTGTTATCTAGTTCATTCCTACCTACATTTATTTTAATTTTTTTTGCGAATGAAATTATTTTTTAATTTAAATAATAAAACTTGTATCAAAATAATCAGTACAAGTACTGAGTTGCTCCATGTAAAAACTCAGTGTGTCATATTTTTTATACTTACTGATATTAAGCAAGCTAGGGCTAAAGGGAATTCAAATAAAACAAGTGCTATCACTTAGTAGTAGGCTTGACCCTTGTCTCATTGAATTCTAATATGCACTATGAAATATGGACCTGTCAAATTTTAGTTATATTTAACACAATGGCAACAGTTAACAAATGCCATAAATTACTCCATCACAAAATACAGTCTTGAGCATACATGCACCCCTTTTCTAAATAATATCACTGAGGGAAAGGTATTTTCGTAATATGGTCTAACAGCCCCTTTGTTAAGAATATACCCTATTAGTTACACTTCCACACAGTTTCCCCTGGAAACAATCATGGTTAATTCTTGAGGAATTTATCAAGATGGACCAACTGACCTGGTTTCATCCTTACTTTTCATCTCTTACTGATGCACCCTCAATGTATACCAATAGAGCAGGCAGGGCTATCATTTTACCATTTTTATTTTGTTTCATTGTACTATACAAATTTTTTTTTATTCAATAAATTAATTAATTTTAATTCAATGTTTAACTGAATCCAATAAGACTCCTTTAAGTTTACTAAAGATAAAATATTAACAAAGTACAGTAAAAAATGTTTACCGAAACAATGTTGCATTATTAAATTGTTATATATAGTAATATATTATTTATTCATCTGATTATGGCATTTACCCTTTTATTTTGAAATGTTATTAGTTCAGGTTGCAGTTGCGGTTGCAGTTTTTCTTATGTCGGACTGGTGTAGCTTTGTTTTTAGTTAATATTATAAACCTATTTAATAAAAAAATATTAATAAAGTAAACATTTTTTTATATCAATAGTTATGTTATGATATGTATGACTAATATATATTTCGCAGCCCAACTCCAGATGTTTGTATGACAAGTGACTCATATTCATGAAACATTTGAACAAACATTTGTTTAAAACAAAATTGTCTATGGAATACTGTTTATAATGGGCCAGCAATGTTATTCTACTAATATAAATAAGATAGTTTGTAATATTATGAATATGAATACATGATTTTAAAGGATATAAATAGAATAGCCCAGCTTACACTGTTAAAGAAATGGCTATTAGATAGGGTCAAAAATGACCCAAAGTACATTAAGTATTAATAGACCATCATTAGGCCCCATTCTTGCAAAAAAAGTAAGAGTTTGTTCCACAATAAAAAAAAATTACCCACAGATGATATATTATTACTTAATTACTACTTGATATTAATATTATTAAATTAAAAGTGCATTTAAAAGTAATTATAAAATCATTACAATTGGTTCACAATAGATAACAATATCTCATACCTCAAATAACATGTACACACACGAATGTACACATATGCAATACACATACAAATATAATCAAATATGTTTTTTTTTTATTTGGTTTAATATAACACCTTAATGAAATAATTCCGTCAGGTCAAAATCAAAACAAGGTTTCTAAATGATAACAATGTATCATTAATATCCACCCACTTTTATCAGTGTACTGATTGACACAATATCTTTCAATTTCAATCAATGAACTATACAATGTTAATAATTTAGGTCATTTTAAATTTGATGTACCACCTTTTGCCTTGCCTTATATGGTATTCTCTATGGTACAGAGATTTTTTAAGAGATCCTGAGCTCATTATTTTTATTATTACTTTTTATTATTGTTCTGAATAATTTAACATATAATGTACATTTTTTTATACAACTTAGAATGGCAAACAAGCTCACGGCCCACCTGATGGAAAATGGTAACCGTCGCCTATAGACATGAGCAGTACCATGGACATAACAAAGTATATACAGAGTATATTGTTTCACCATGATACCCCCCATGCATTGCCATTCCTGAGGACTAAGGTGTTATTTCTCTGTACCCTGTAAATTCACACCATATCTAACCCTTCAAACCGAAACAGCCATGCAAACACAACTGCTTCACGGTAGAAACACAAATGGGACAGAGGTACCCAAGCAATCGACTTTTGTACAAAGTCTCCCTCTGGTTACCACAGCTTTCAGCTAGTTTGCCATTCTAAGTTGCATAAAAAAAGCTCACCCGTCATACTTGTGAATGGGTCTTGTTTATGGGGACTGGTCACTCATGTTTGAAAAAAAAAAAACTCAGTAGTACTTATAGTCATAGTACCCATACAGATGTAAAATTGTCTTTTACATAAATATATTGAAAATAGTAACAGTAAAGTTTTATGCTGGTTCTTCCCAGTAGATAACGACATTCTAAACCCAGTAGTAGAATCTTATTTACAATAGCTTTTAAAGAAGTCGTATATGATTAATTGACTATTTCCTGGGTACAGAGGAATAACATCTGAGTCCTCAGGAATGGCAACGCATAGGGAGGTATCATGGGCGAAATAGTATACTCTGTTATGTCCATGGTACTGCTCATGTCTATAGGCGACGGTTACCACTTTCCATCAGGTGGGCTGTCAGCTTGTTTGCCATTCTAAGTTGTATAAAAAAAAAAGATTATTTGTGATCTATAGGTTCCTAAAACTACCGCAACTTGTATTATTTATTGTGCTGTATCTGCTTAGAGACTGTTTTGATTGCAGTGAAATATGATAAGCGGGACAGGGCTATTTCCTGTGTTATCACATTGCACTGATCGTATTTCCTATAACATATTAATGATAATTTCTCTTTGTTTATAATAAAGGCGATTGTGCGGGCGAAGGACAATCCTCGGTGTTCTCTTTTTTTCTATTTGTATATTACTACTCTATACCTTTGTTAATTTTGTTTCCTTTTTTTGCATTCGATAGGGGTTACTTCCGTGTTGGTCCCATATACATTTTTTCACGATTGTTTTTTTTTTTAATATAACAAGCATGCAGTCGGTCTGATGGTAAACGGTTACAATAACCTATGGACGCCTGCACCACTAGGGGTCTCACGTGCGCGTTGCTGACTCTCAAGAAATCTTAGTATACCCCTTTTTGAAGAACGCCGTACTATAGTTTCTAGGGAAAACCTCGGCAGGAAGCTCATTCCACAGTCTGAGCGTTCGCGGAAGAAAATCCTGTTTTGTATTTATTTTCATTAATTCAATAAGCATCTTATTTTCACTTTATTAGGGAAACATACAATTCCTAGAACATATAAATAAATAATTAAACAATAACATAAATCAGTGAAGTTTCCACAGATAACTGACACATGACATAAACGAGAGCAGATGATAAATATAAAAACAATACTAAACATAACGAAAAGAGAAACATAACAATAACAATTTAAAAAAGAAAAAAACATGTATCGAGCAGGAAGCTTCACAAAAGACTAGATAGCTTAGTAGTTTTGATGTGACTTATATGTAAAGGATAATATATAAAATAAATATAAAAAAGATTACCTGAACTGAACAAAATATTAACTGCAACATAAATATTAATGTCAACAACAAGCTATGTGTGCATCATCGTTTCAGGCATCAATTGTTCACTACTGGTCATAGGCTTTTTACGAATCATAATGGGATTTGTATTTTATATATAACTTGCTGATTTAAATATGTTACTCCCTTAATGTTATGCCCCAAGCGTGGGAGGTCTATTGATCTCGGCGGATTATGCTAAACGAATCCTACTATGATTCGTGTAAGGTAGGCTTTAAACCCTCCTGAAACAGCTGCATCTGCTGAATTTCTGCAACAGATTTTAGGTCGTGGCTCTATCTAGTAGAGGTTTAACAGCGTTTGTTATTGTTTTGTAACAGTAGTCTACACTCAAGAATCTTAATTTCTTTCAAAGTTTATCTCATATAATCATCCTATTGCCACTTGCTGATCTACTACTTTGGATCTGTGGTAATCCTCATTTCAAGTTCTACACGCATTAAATTTCCGAGCCTGTTATAACTTTACTAAGTCTTTCAATTTCGTAAAGTTATAACAGGCGATGTCTTCTAGTTTTGTCTTTAAACTTCGAAGTGTTTTGGATACGAAGATGTGGCGTAGTTTCCAAAAGCTGCCCAATCAATTGACATCAATTACAATAACAATTGCTTAAAGGAGACCATTGCGAATATTAATAATGAATCGCAATAAATTTGCCAAATTAGATTTGGGCGCAGTATTCAAGGTA